GATAACTATCATAAAGCCTGCCATTTGAGATAAATAAATGTATCGAGGTCTCGAATTCTTAGGATATTGTATATCAATGTTTACAAATAATTCAAATATCTTATAAAACAACATGTTACCATTTATTTATATTTTATTTCAACTTTAAATCGCTAAATATTATCGCTTTATTTTATTTGAAAACTGTAGATTCTGCGTAACTTGAATTTCAATGTCAACATCTTATTGAAAATACAAAATTACTTTTAGTTTATAAAATACCCAAAAAACGCATCAAGTCAAATAGATTCATTGCAGCATGATTTGCCAATGGGAAGCATTTAAATGAAGTCCTTTCAATCCATTGATCTTGAAAGGTTTGTGGGACACGTTATCGCGTTGTTCGTCATCGTATGCCTGCATGTCTGCTCGCCAGGATTGGGAGGTGCGACCGTACAACTCTGTGTGCAGCGACCGTACTAACAGTGACCAATCATCAACCTCTGTTTAACCTAATCCCCCATCCTGATCATGAGTAGCTCCATGCGTGTACCCACTTGATCCGCAACATACGTCCTGAATAAATGTGCTCCGTGCTACACGTCTATTTCCTTTATAGCTGGGCTATAGCTCAGCTAGTTCTGGGTGTCTAGCTAGATGTTGGAGAATCTGCCATAGAGATTTCTGAGTCAGTCAGGCTTTACTAAGGTAGCAATCCGCTACAGGTTGTACAAAGCATATTTTTCACATATTTTTTATATCCTGCTGCAAATCGAAATTGGCAAGACAATTGCACTCCACTTGCGTATTGGTTCGGTTAATGCGGTGAATAATCATAGCATTCTAGAAGTGATTTCCCACATATCCAGATTCCATTTAACTGCTGTCTATCGCCTTGTTCAATGGTGTTACTCACTACTTTAATGAATAATTTAATAATAGTATGCTTAATATTATACGAAATCTTCTAAAAAAATTTATTTAATTAATCTAACATGTAGATTGAAGTGGTATTTGTCTATAATCCCAATATTTTGGTCACGTTTGGAGCCAGAACAAATTTCGATAAATGCTTCTACAATTTTTGGTTGCCAAATGGTAAACAAACAACATTATCACATCCGGGTGAGTAAACCGCAAATTGGAGTTAAAAATGTCCCCTAGACATGCAAAGATTAATGATCGTGGCATGAAGGAGGGCGTTGACAAATAAATTTTGCCAAGGGGGAAGACGTCAGGACTTGTGGAAGACAATCCGGGCTAGGAGAGAAGAGCGAAGTGAGGTTCGATAAAAGAATTTTAAAGAATTCTTCCTTCTTCATCCGTTGATAAACCATTAAAAAGTTGGGGGGGGGGCATATGAGTCTGTATGAGTTCAATACATAGGTTAACTGAGTTGACCTGTGTTAAAGCTGTAGCGGATTGCTACCTGACTGACTCAGAAATCTCTATGGCAGATTCTCCAACATCTAGCTAGACTCCCAGAACCAGCTAAGTTATAGCCCAGCTATAAAGGAAACAGACGTGTAGCACGGAGCACGTTTGTTCAGTACGTATATTGCGGATCAAGTGTACACGCAGGGAGCTACTCATGATCAGGATGGGGGGATTAGGTTAAACAGAGGTTGATGATTGGTCACTGTTTGTACGGTCGCACCTCCCAATCCTGGCGTGCAGGCATCCAGGCATACGATGACGCACACAGCGATAACGTGTCCCACAAAGCAAACTCATCCACTACATCCCCCCCCCCTTATATTCGCTTACGTGGATTATAATAGACATTTTTAAGTAATTTAAAATTAAGTCATCGATTAAATACTAGCCCCACTATACCATATAACTATTTGCAATAACAATTTCTTAATCCCTCTTTAGTCGCCCTGAATAGCTAAAGGCGAAGTAGCTTCAACCTGAATTAAAACTTTTGACTTTTCTCGTTATCGTCTATTTAATAGTTCTTTTTGTTCGAATTTATTTTTTTGAATTATTTTCTTTAAGTCGTTGCTTAATAATACAATTATATCTGTTCCAAGCATTTCATAAAACGTAAATAAGGTTAATTTTTTTCTCAAGAATCATTCTTTGGATCAATGTCATTTCTATGGATTTTCGATTTTTCATTCACCAAATCTGCAAGAGACCAGATTCTTGCAGATGTCGTAGATTGTGGGGAAGTTGACTCTGGTTTGAATCCCATATCCGGTTCCGATGAATTTCCAGCCAAACGATCTCTGATATCCCTAACCATCTGGCTAAATAGTATTGTTTGAACCTGCGTTGCCAACGCTCTAACAATATTTGGATCCGCATTCCAACAGAGAGGTTCAGCTGGTGGGAAAGTTGGAGGAAGATTTTGAATAGGTTGAGGAGGTGGGGGTGGAGGTGGGTGATGAATGGGAGGTTGAGGAATAGATCGATTTTTAGCACTCCAGGTCAATCGATTATCCTTTTTTAGACGTCTTCGAGCATTAGCAAACCAGGTGGAAACCTGAGTCAAATTCATTCTCGTAACCGTTGCTAACAGCACTTTCTCCTCTTTTGTTGGATATGGATTCTTCCGATGCTCGTAAAGCCAGTTCTTCAAGAAGCATGTGTTTTCACGAGAGGAGGTTTTCTTCTTGATTGGAACTCCCTCCCTGAATTTGAAAACAAAGATATCACTTTAAATGCCCCCCATAAACTGGCGAATGATTAGAGTTTTAGAGGGTTAGCATTACCGGTTATCGTCGAGCTCACTTTGATTAAAAAGCCGATGCTCAGTTTCCTTGAAATTCCCGGGGTATTGAAGAGCCTAAGAGAATTTTAATGTGATATTAGTTCTGGAACTGCTTATAATGTAGGTTGAGGGTAGAAGCCCACCCTGTTAAATGTAACTCCATAATTAGGAGTGACAATGTTGACCACCACAAATCCTACTAAATGACGCGTGTGTTTGACACGAGAGACCTACCATACTCTCAAAATGTCAGCTAAAATCTGACATTGGATTTCACAAATCGATGTAATTGTTTTTCATATATATATATATATATATATATATATATATATATATATATATATATATATATATATATAGTTTTCTCTGTTTCTATCCTAATTGGTTCATTCCTTAAAGCCTTCTTGAATGAGTCTTTCTTTTGCCGTCTGCTTTACAACTTGCCTTTATATTTACTACTTCCTTCAGTTCAATCGAAGATTTGCTATAAACCAACTTTTGTTAATTGTGTTTCATGCACAAAATGTAACTTTGGAATTTATAATTTTGACCCTGGGACTCTGGGAGAAGACTCACCTGATTCAGTGTCCAGCCCTAAAGACAACGACGGAAAGCCAGAGATACTGAGAAACAAGAAGACAGCTAATGAATTGCTATTAATTAACTGCTATAAATGTACCCCCCCCCCACCCATGGGGGGAAGCTGAAGTCAAAGTTTAAGGGCTAATGATAAATATCATACAGCCTGCCATTTGAAAAAAAAGTAACTTTGACCCAGAACTGCTTCCTAAAAACAGTGAACAATTTTCACACTTACTGAGATCTTTTCCGGTGGAAAGTGGCAATTTGGCTCAATTGTTAGAGGACTGGAGGTTTGACGTTTGACGCCAGTTAAAAGTGGTTCCATTGAATTCAAGGGGATTTCAGAAGATTGTTGAGGTGATTTTATATTTCCCAGAGGCCGATTGTGAACATTGGTTAATATCTGGGGAGGGGAGACTGAATAATGGGTCCCACCTACAAATGTTAAGCTATTCATGTATAAAGGAAAGAAATTGATACAAAGGAAGCAAAAAAATTAATTAAAAAACATGACCAATAATGAGAAAAATTAAACGAGCAACGAATTATGAATGTAGTAAATATAATCTCATACACTTGAAGAAGACAGAGCATTGTAATAAGAATTCTTCGTTTTTGAATATATAGACAACTCAGTATTCTCGAGTTTAAGCCAACTAGGAGTTTTGACACACTGACGTAATCCCTTTCCTGTCCCATAGTCAAGAAGATTAAAATTCAATCAATTGATTAGGTGATTAGATTTAAATCCATTTTATGTACTTTGTAGTTAAGTATTAAATATTGGCATTGATAACATTTAAAATCATTACATAAAGTAAATATTTTAGTTGATCACAATTAATTTACGCAAATTAGGGATTTGTCCCTTCTTGTCTTTATTAAAATTTATAAAAAAAATTTACATGACTTAAAATAATTAAAATGAAGTTTGAAGTGCAAAATAATCGTTGAACATTATTTGCTCTCATTTACTAAAACAAATATTTACACGTTGTTCATAGAAATCAATTCGTATTAAAGTGATTTTATTACATTAATTCTTTCTTGTGATCACGACATTTGCTGCCAATGTTCATTAATACAAGTGGAATCCCATTTTAGCATCCTGGATCATCAAATATTGCTCAACTATAACAAAAAGATTTACACCTAAAATGAAGTGGTGTTTTCCTCTATCTTTGAGGTCTAATTAGAATACTTCGAAAGGCATACATCGACGAACAAACTTTTTCAACTTGATTCCACGCTCGATTTAGCATTATTATATTTAATTCAACTTTGTGATATCTTAGAGAAAGCCGAATAATGAGTCAATGGGTGAATAAGGTTAAGATCGCTATTAAAATATGAATTTTTTGAGGATGTAATTTTAACAGATCTCATTAAAACTTGGAGGACTAGCACTCTAATAACCTCCATATTTAATATCTAACCTTCCATTAAATGTTTCGGAATTTATTCATGTCCCAAGTTTTGTCTTCACTTATTATTTAATCCCATTGTTTCAATTAAAAAATGTTGGCAATAGTAAATGCAACTGTTAAAATTGAACTTTAGAATATTAGGAATTAGGCAACAGGAATTGTCAGAAGTAATCGAATCAATGGTAGTTGAAAACAAGACATTCGTTAGATTCGTCCTACCGCCCCCCCCCCTCTCCCTCCCCTTCTTGACCTCCTATTGAACTATTCTGGCATTAAAATGTTTGACACTTATTGTGATTGAAGATATACAAGTTGCTCCTTCAATAAAATGCTGATAAAGTACATTATTCAATAAGATAATTCGGTAATCTATAGCTTGAGAATAGCAAGTTCATTTCAATGACTTTTATGTTTAATAGGCTTTTAAGATTCGTTGGAACTATATGCACGCCTTTTGTTCTAATTAATATATCCTTCATGTAAAACAATGTATTTGTACTACTTCTACTTTCTATTGGAAAGTATGGAACAAGGAAGCATACCACTTTCCATCATGGATCTAATTCCTTCATTGTTTTCATCACGAGCTTTCAAGTTCTGGGACGCAGCACTGAGCAGATGTCGAAGTATCAGAGGGTTTTGCTCCATCAATCGTAGCCAAGCCTCGCCGTCTCCTGGTAAGCTCAAGTTTGGTGGTGGTGGTGGTGGAGTTGGTGGTGTTAAGGAAGTTGTCCCAGGTGTTAGTTCCATGCTTTAACTCTCGATTTTGTTAACTGCTGCGGTATGTACTGGTTTTGCTGGTTTAAAACGACTCTTTAAACGATTTAATGCGTCGGTAGAGGAGCACGCGCAGTGCGAAGTGCTACCACTCTCGCCAAGTGCGAACGTTTTCGAATGTTCGTTTGGGGGTACTCACTAACACGCACGCACTCATACACGCGATAAACATGAAAGTTCATGAATTCTATGAAATCAAAAATAAATGGAAGTGTTTTGCTCGCTCTAAAATTTATTCATATTTTTAATCCGAAACTAACCAAATTTCACAAATTCTCACTAATATCGACTTTCTTTATTTAATTATATTAGTAATTAATCTATTTATCTGAAAATGATAAATTTAGACAATTAAAATTGCAAGTTCAAAAGTCCAATAAAGTTTTATTTGACGACTTTCAATCTGTTATGAATCACCTTAATTGGAAATATGGGAGTTTAATGCAATCAAATTTTAATCATTCTTTGTGCTTTCTTACATTATGCTATGACGTAGAGGAGGGCAAAATAAATAATAATTTAATGGGAGAGAAACGGTCAACTTCAATGGAAGATCAAGAGGAAGCAATCGAAGAGGGAAGCCATAAAAGTCACATTTTATTTGAATTCAATTTTTAGGGTGTGCGCTTACTGGACTGTTCGTCCCTTCATGTTTCCAGTCACGAATTGCATAATTCATCCACTGGATCACTGGCCAATTTTATGCTCACAAATCGAGGCCTCATCAAGTGGATAGTCTGTCTTACTATTTTAGAGCGCATTTTTTTCTGAGGCCCAAGAAATCAGAATGATGTAATTGGAATAACTTGTTCAAAGGTAGGAGTGCTCTCTACGTGAACTCTAATTAATTGCAACTTATGTCCCAATTTTTATGAATAACCTGTAGCCAGCTAAAATATACTATAATTAATGGATGAGGGATAGTTAAAACTAATGAAATTCACAAACAAATAATTATTTGTTCTTTTTATTGAGGGATAATAAGGTTAAGATTAACTTTAACATTGCAGTTCCCTACGCATTTACACTTTAACAGTACATATTCGTTCTTATGTTTTTGTACTTTAATAGAATAAGAAACTTCGCATTATAGAGAGTTCTTACGATATGCGTACAAAATCGTCTTTAAGTTGTTATGGTAATTAAAAAGTGCATACTCCGGACGTTCAAATTATCTGTACTCACAATAATTATGTGTGTTTTAAAAAATATAATTTTTAAGTAATTGATATTAAGATGCAGTCAAATATGCTTATTAGACCTCTTCCTGGGTGCTATCGCAATTAATATAGATGTAGCCAATGAGAACTTCGCGCGAACTTTCCCAATAGCTATGATTGGTCGATGAGCAGAGTGGAAAGTGTGGGAATAGCATTGGTTAAAGGGAAGAATTAATTTTTGAATTTTTGAAAATAACGCTTCTTAATTAAATTGATAACTTCTGTTATTATTGTTATGAATTTAAAATTCTCTGTTATCAGTCTGTCTTTATAGCGTTTAAAGGATTTACAAAGACAATAATTTTTACTAACTCTGAGTAAACTTTTTCAGTAGTGTAATTTATGGTGAAATTCCATCTATTTACTTATTTATTTAAATACCTGAGCATTTTAAAGTCAAACATGGTTATTTACCATTGCATCCCCTATACCTGCGTTTATAATAAGTTACAATAGGCAATGATTTGTTCTTTATTCTATGTGGCTTGACTATTTGGGATAAGTTCAATGAACCCCAAGAAAGGTTTGCACTAAATGCTTATTCGTACTCTACTGAAGTTGCACTTAGCAAATCAGTTTACATTCTTTGAAAAAAATTTTAAAATATGCACTTCTAAATAAATATGTTGTGATGGGAGCGTAGTTCTCGCTTTTGAAGCTGCATAATAATTAATTGGAACAAGCTTAATAAGCGTTTATTTAACTGTTTCTTAGACCTAAGTTAACATTAATCACCTTGAGTACATTTTCAAGTCCCCCAAAAATCTAACGGAGATTACAATGAGCCACAATTTAACTTACTTATCCCTTTATCATCACCTCTACCTTAACAGCTTACTAACCAATGGCTTTTAACCTACTGCTATCCCGAAACTCGGTCCTCTCCAATCCAATCACAGCCGGTTAACTTTTAACATCATATCTTTTTGCTATCTCCTTTCAATCTGCATCATCACCTACCTTCTGTTCTTGGAGATCTACCTCCCCCCCCCCACACATTACAAATCTTGTGTCATTCTTCCGACTTTGCTGCAATAAGAGTTTCTCTTACTTAACCCCTCCAAGATACGGTTTCAACTGGTAGAAACTCTCTAATTCAGATTCGTCCTACATATAAAAGAATGTTATAAGTTAATAAGGCTTCAGCACATCAGAGCCCACGAAATTCCACGCATGATGAACTTGCACACTCATACAATTTCCGCCACAATTATAGAGAAGACGAGAGTAACCTGGTGTGTATTATTATAGCTCTAGCATATAATCAGGCATGTAAATTAGTTCATTATGTAACATTGATGTTTATATGATCAATACCAATATATTAATGACTTATAAACATATTAGTTTGTATGTTTAAAGTAGTATTAATCCTGCCAATCCAGAAGTGTCCTTGAGACACTTGCGATCTTTCTAAGACAAAAAGGAAGAAAAGGAGTTAAGCATCAGCACGTATATGTTTCAAGGTTTGGATCAAGGCAAAAGGCAGAGGCGTCCAGCCAACCCAGGTTAAGAGAGTCCAGCAAAAATCGTATGTCACAAAGGTAGAAAAAAAGGTGAGGTGAATACTGTGGAAGTAGTGGAATATGACATAGAATGGGGTGATGGTAGTTTGAAGCGAGAAGTCAACTGCCAGTTAATAGACTTTTTTGCCGTATGAGTATACGTTGCCCAGGGTGCACCACGTGGAGGTAAGTCTATCGCACACCCTTTGATTTGTAATCTAACTGCTACTTTCTTTGCTGGCTTTTGTACTCAAAAAATGAAATAAAGGAGAAACAATTTGTTATGCTCAGCCTTTTTTACCGTTCGGATTTCCACAAACTCTTTTTTAAACGCGCGTCAGATACGAGTAAAGCTCTGGCGTCTTTACTAAATTTAATCAAACTGGCGAGTTTTTTGCAAGTAAAATAAAGAGTAGAATTGGTCTGATATACCCTCTCACCATTATCGACTATGTAATCTATTCCCTTATAATTGGTTTACTCGCGAAGTTCTCTAAATGGCCTTCGATCACTAATTATAAAATGGAATTTCTTGGAGTCTTCTAGCCTTAATGAATCTAACACAAGAAGTACCATAGGCTGCACATACAGCTGTCTATTATTTCGCCACTTAATCGAAAATGACGAGCTCTTCCTTGACAAGCAGGAATTTAAATGCAACTGATATGCAACTGAATGTGAAAATTTCTACGTCAATTTTTCTTTCTCTCATAGAGCCTGAACCATTGAGCTTGTTCGTTTCATTCACCTGCTTGTACCGCAGCAATTATGAAAGGAAAAGAAATACCTGTAATGAGTTAGAGTGAACTTTAGTCTCTTAAATGTTTGTGTTGTCAACGTGGCGGAAATAAATCCAATTGACACCACGAACATGGAAATAATTAGGTCGCTTAAGGTCTTACTCAAGAGTCTGAGAACGAAATAAAGTAGATTAAACATTGTAGCCTCGCCTAGTGATTTCTCACATTTGAAAATTATGGACACTGTCTTGCTCTCGAATTAAAGCAGAGTGACATCTAATCTTCATACCTCTATTTCCTTCATCTCTCCCTCCACCCTCCCCTTATTTGACTTGGTTGTAAGTGACCTTACCTGTTCAATATTTTTTGTTACCATGACAACTATTTAAAACCGGCCAATGAGCTTTAGACGGTGTAAACATGAAGCGGGAAAATTCTCCAATATGAAAATTGGAATGACAGAAGACCAAGTCGTGGCTTGAAGGAAAAGAACTATTATCACGTTTTCTTGGACTGCCTTCAATAGGAATCCTTTCAATTAACCATAAGTAAAGTATTGTTTTATTCCGCTTTCAGGTACATGCCAATGGAAGATAGTTCCACAATTATATTGCTTTGCAGTGCGTAATAATTAAGACCAATAGCCCAAACAGTTATAACAAATGGCAGGCGTTTTGATAGTTATCATTAGCCCTTTAGTCGATTTCAGGCTTCACAGAGGGGAGGAGGAACATCAAAATGAGAATGATTCGGGAGGGAGAACAGAAGAGTGATTCACAAATGTAAAAGAAACAGACAGACACAAAAGCACAGAAAGGGTAAGATGAGTACTCTGGTAGGGGTCGAATATGATGGTCGTTTGAAGTGAGAAGTCAACTGCCGGTTAATGGACTTTTTTGCCGTATGATTATACGTTTCCCAAACATCTGTGCTACACTGACTACAATGCATCAGGTACGCGTTTTTGTCAGAGCACTTGTAGATTATGTTAAAATTCATAAGGTAATAAAGAAACACTTTACTCAGCATTTGAGATGTGATTCACAAAAAAATATTAACAAATAAAGAAGTCATTTTTAAACTCTGTACTTTGTATAAAACTAGTCAATACATTATTTGTAGCTCTGCAATTTGCTCAAAGAAACTGTCTGATATTCTTGACTTATTGTCCACTTCTCCGGGGTTTCACGTTGTCAGCAGAGATACAAACATTTGGACCCCGCAATATTGCAAACAGATACAAAATGTCAGCAGCTTGGTGACAAACTTCCACCCTCAGCTATTCTTCAGACTACATCCCTCCAATTCCTGTCAAGCTTCGGGGCAAGAAGGGCAATGAAGCGCCAACTAAATATGTCACTTAACTGTTGATGTTTCCATTGAGGGGTGTGTGATAGGTTTACCTCCATGTGGTGCACCCTGGGCAACGTATACTCATACGGCAAAAAAGTCTATAAATCGGCAGCTGACTTCTGACTTCAAACTACCATCACCCCACTGTATGTCAT